GTCAAGCAAAATTCTAAGACTTAAGATAAATGTGAGGCCTTTTTTCTGTCTCCAGACCAGAATCAGCTTTATTGGTCAGGTATGCCTGTGCATCCAAAGAATGGACTCTGGTTTCACCTCGCTCTCAATGGACTGAAAGACAATAAACAAAGTTAACACAAGCATTTAAATATAAAACTGCTATGTACAGGCCTAGAGATGTTACACATCTTAATGAAAGCGCAGTGGTGAAGTGCAAAGGTGTTGAAATAAATGTAATAAATAGATTATATAATGGATCGTTATCTATATAAGAGATAGAACATTGGCAGTATGTAAACTGAGCATGGATTTTGGTAAATTATTAGTCACAGTGGATGATTTTGTTTATAGTCATAAAGTCTATTACAGATTTAAATAGGTAAAAGAAGTGACATACTGGGGCGCCGGTAGCGTAGTGGTTAGTGCATGTACCCCATGTTTGGAGGCTATAGTCCTCCGAGCTGGCGGCCCAGGTTTGAATCCAACCTGTGGCTCCTATCCCGCATGTCATTCCCCACCCTTCTCTCTGTCCTTGATTTACAACTCTATCCACTGTCCTATCTCTAAAGGCACTTAAAATCCAAACATACGTCTTTAAAAAAAAAAAACAGTAACACTTATTTTAAGAACAAATGAAAACTCTCATAATCATGTTGAAGTGTCCTTGGGCAAGACACATAACCCCAGGGTTCTCCTGCAGGCCTAGTTGAGCATTAGGAGAAAGAACATGCTGGGAGTGTTGTTTGTTTGCAGGTATTTGGTAAAAAAAAGACTAAAATATCAGAACAAACAAAAACATCACCTGATGATCAGTGGATCAGAGTTATTATGATTGATTCTGAGGACATCCATTCATTTTTTTAATATTAAATTTAAACCCAAAAATATAGATTTTTTTATCATCACAAGCTTCCTGTTTTCTTACGTCTCCGCTACAAATATTGATGTCTCCAAGGATTTAAAATGTCCCGTATTATAAATGCTATACAAAATGTTTAGCAGAAAGATGATTTAAGTCATCACTCAGAGTATTAAGGTCTGTTTTTGGCTGCAGTTGTGCGTGAGAAACCCATACACAAATATGCGAGCAAAAGGGATCAAGTATGTCACAGTTCCTTTCTTTTCCATCAGTCAATTTGTTCTTCTATCCCTGGCAGTGTTAATAAAGTAAATTTATCTTGTCTCTGTCTGGTGATTACTAAGAGCTTAATGTTTAAATTTGGGGAAACAATCCCATTAAGATGAAAGTTGATGCTGTTTGGGAAATCCATGGAATTATTTAAAGTTCATAAACATGTTGTTCTTTCCAAACAACTAACTGAGTGATGTCTTTTCATCTTTCATTTTCTTTAACCACACATTCTTCTTCACTGCTGGAATATAATTAAGTACCTTTACTCAAGTGCTGTGGAATCCAGATGTTTTTTATGACTTTATATTGTACCTAAAGATTGTACTTTTACTTCACTTCACTTCAAACAGCTGCTATTACAGTTTACCTTGATGATTGTGATACGACAAGTATCAAATATGAACCATAAAAAAACATAATTACATTTAACCTTAACTAGTGGTACACAGCCTTTTTAACCACTGGGCCACTTTTCACTTTCTAGCTTTGAAGTTCAACCAAAGCTGATTCCACATCCGAAGTTGTCTCATAGTGCCAGCATAATGTACTGTTGTGTTTGAAGTAGACATGTTTTGACAAATGGCAACTTAAAGAACACATAAAATTTCATTCAAGCCATTTTGATGACCTTTCTTAAAGCGTTCTTTTCATGTGTACTTCAGGCTGTTACTGGTCAATTTGACCTACATCCAGAAACAGGTCAGAAAGTGGACACTCCACTGAGAGTTCTTTCCTATAACGAAACCAACACATGAAACCAACTTGTGTCATTTTTTTACAGCTGCCTTTTGTTTAATATTTTTTATAAATTATTGTACTATTTATTTAACAATGTAAAACTCAGAGCTGGCCACACGTTCCTTAATCTGTTAAACATTATTTATCTGCGTTCATTTTTTAAATTAACTAAACAGACATTTGACTTACGGTAAATGTTGGTTTCTGGGTGCTTTTATTGTGAAATGGTGCTTGACCTTCATGAATGTACTTCTGGATTGGGGCCATTGTAAAGATGGTGGTGATACATCGAAAACGTTTTATTATATGTATATTTTCAATACAGACTTTTGTGCAATTTTTGGTTTTCTAAGTCTTCATAGACTCTTGAAAACTCAAATCTATTGATATTGCAAACAGCTGATGTACTTTTTGTTTATAACACCGGTTAATGATAGCGTAACTTCAGTTAATTTTGAACTGAATTAACGGATTAACTGCTAACAAAGTTAAAACCTTTGTTAAAGATAATGGTTAAAAACGTTGCTTGCTTTTTTAAACTGTCTTATTATATTTTAGCTTTTTTCTTTGCTGCTGTGTCTTGTCTTTAATTTTTAATGGTATCTTTAAGTAATTTTAATGTATTTCTTTCTTCCTTTTGTGTGATGCTTTTGATGTCTTGTGTGCAGCACTTCGAATTACTTTGTTGCTGAAATGTGCTATTTAAATAAATGTGCCTTGTTTCTTTGCATAAAACTATTTTATTAATTTTACTAGAATCACACCAGTGACGTTACAAATTAAATCATTATTCTGAGATACCCAACCTAAGTCAACAGAGGTGGATATTGGTTTCTAATCACTCTAATGGTAGCTGGCCTGCCATTTCAGATACTGAAGTTTTGGCGGTAAGACTACTGTCCAACAGGTCATTGATTTATTTACCAAGATGAGCAAGCAGAAAGTGATTTGTAGGAGACAACAAAGACCAAGAGGATACCATGGAGGAAAACTGTGTTTCAGTCCCCTCAGTTAAAATAAAGTGAGAGAAAAAGGCAGCAAGGGAGAAATTTATGTTCAAGGATGAAGCAATTGGTTCATCCTCACTTGTATATCATGTTGCAGGCAGTATGGAAGTGGAAAATGTCATTTGAATGACTTTAGGGCCCAAAGGACTGGTTATTTCCCATGCATCTGACATTTAGTCAACTTTCAAGTGCTTCCCCCGCCAGTGATTGGAATAAATTGTCACTGCAATGACAAACATGGTGGGTAATGGAATGGTGAAGAATTAAAGACTTTGGATGTTACTGGGCTACATGCCTATGGAGCTTCTTATGCTGGCTGATGTGTACATTACTTCTTGCAATGTTCTATTCTTTTCCATTGTATTTTGCCGTGTTCTGTTCTGGTTAGAACCAAAAACTGTAAGGTCACCCATTGGTTTATCCACCTTCTTTTAGAAGCCTTGAGTTTAGCATTTTGGTCGCTATATACCATGCTTTTTTTCTGGAGGCTGAAAATACTATGTTTCTACAAATGTGGTGCTGGGGGCTTCTTCATGCATTTATTTAGAGACAAGAATGAGAATAGAGTCAGAAATCAGGGGGAGAGAGAGTGGGGAATGATATGCGGGAAAGGACCACGAGGTCAGATTTGAACCCGGGCTGCCCACTTTGAGGACTACAGCCTCTGTACATAATGCTAACCACTAGGCTACCAGCGACCAAGTGTATTTTTGTTATTACTGGACTGTAATTACTTGCTGTAAATTGTGGCCTTTTTATATGGTGTCTTATGGGGATCGACTCTCTCCCGGAGCCGCCCTCAAGTAGCTACTCGAGGAACTCCAATTTTTAGCAATTCCTAATACCCTCACAATGTAGCCCAAGATGTTTTCGATTGGCTGTAACCACTACTTATCATACAAACCTTGGTCATTTGAACTTTGAACAGTGAATGCTTCAATATGCAAATGCTGTTGGTTGTTATGTGAAATGATTTTGCATATTTTCTTTGCCTTGACCTTTCCACCAGAGACTCGCGGGCTTGGAAAATATGACACAGTTATGCACAGCCTTTAATGAATGTTCCTGTTATGTTTGGAATATTTAAAGAGATACTTCACCCATTTGCATTAAGCTTTGTATCATTAGAAACCTGGTAGTATTTTTGAATGGTCGTGCATCCCACCCTCATTTTCCCCTGAGATGGGAAATCTTTGTATTTCTAAGTCTGAAAAGGAGCTTCCGATGACGCAAAAATCGTCATTTTGCGTCAGCTGTTGCAACCGCTGGCTGCTGGGGCCGCCGCAGGCCGCACCAGCTGAGAAATAAATTGGGATTTGGTGTCTTTCATCCACATGAGCCAAAAAGACACTTTCTGCCTTTTCTCGGCCAAGAAGGCACCAACTTCAATATTGATTTCACATTTCTACTACATATATGACCCAATGTCAATACAGATTCATGTTTCAATGGGTGAAGTATCCCTTTAAGTACATCCAGCCAGCTGGTGAAGCCCCCGAGAGAAATCAAGATCCTACATGTCATAGTAAACCCTGTATTTGTATTGTGACCCTTTGTAGAGGCCTGAAACCTTGTGGAATACCACTGAACTCAACCCCCAATTTGTATAATAAGTAGTTCCTTCTTATCCAGCCATAAACACTAAAATGCCACTTACACATTGATGTATCAGCTTAAAATTCTACTCAAGTACTAAATGATAATATACATCAGCCACAGGAGACATTTTACTATGGTCAATTCCATTTTTATCGTTATAGAACATAAATGTAAAAGTGGCCTCAAGGGGCATTGAACACTGCACTCCCTGTTCCCTTGAGTTGGATAATTGTCTTTTAGCTGACTTCCTAACTTTACCATTAAGATAAGATTGTCTCTTTGAAGCAGTTTCTTATGGTGCCTTCTCTTATACTTTAAACTCAACACCATTTAAGAGAACAATGAATGTAAAACATTTGCTTGTTACTGCAGGGTTTTTGTCAATCTTGCATTGGTAATTTGACTTTTCTCACCAAAGTTATTTCCAAATATATTTCCCTCATCACATAGAAAACTGAATCTCCTGTAGATCCCCAGTAATCTCCTCTTTCTGATTTGTGCAGATGGATCTCAGAGGAATGGGAGCATTGTACCAAAACCTGCGGCAGCCTGGGCTTCCAGATCCGGACTGTCCGCTGTGTGCAGTTCCTCCACGACTACACCAATCGCTCCATCCACAGCAAGTACTGCAGCGGAGAGAAGCCAGAGAGCCGGAGGCCCTGTAACAGAGTGTCATGTCCCGCCCAGTGGAGGACCGGAGCCTGGTCTGAGGTGAAGTATCCATATGATGTATTGAAGGATGGATTTCCTTTCGCTTGAGTGTGTCAGGGAGTCTGATTGATTTTATTTTTCATGTAGTTTATGAATCATACAACATGAGGCATCTGATATTGGATTCACAGCAGAGTAATTTCTCATCTAAAAACAAAATTGTTTTTGACAGCATTTCCATGTGTGAATGTACTGTAGCTCGTCATATGTTCACACATCCAAATGTACAAACAATCAGCGATAGCAGTTATAGAAAAATAACGGCACGTGTCTTTCTGTTTGTCAGTTAATATTTAATGCCAAATAATCAAAATAATGTAAACATAGTAGTACTTCAGGGTTTTTGCTGAATATATAACATTTAGTCATACATTTAAATTATCTTGAATAAGTCACATAAACAGAGTTCATTTGACAGATATCAATATAGCTTTAATGTGAGTCTGAAACACATTTCAGACTCACTGTCTCGTTGACATTTTCATTCAGTCTCAGTGACGTTGGCAGGAGATGCGAGAAACTGTCTAAAAATAGCCAGCCGGGGTCATAACAAGTGGAATAAACACCAAAGATGAATGATTTGTTTGCTGCTTTGACATCACGCATTCACTAACCACCCCTAATGTGATGTTGTTAACACAGTTTAAAAAAGAACACTTGATTCAGAACAGAATAGAATTGTTTTCAAAGAGGCTGAGGGTTAAAGTCATCCACCACATGTAAAGATGTCTGTAGAAGTGTCCATTTCAAAAGTTGGAAGGCACATCAGCAGCTCCCAAACTGTTGATGTCAGAGTTGTTGGTGGGAGGACATTTTCCGATTTAACAAAAATCCTTGGTAATATTGAATTGTTTTAATATTTCAATCGTTCTCGGTATCTCTTTCTTTCCTGTTTAGAAATAAAGTGTAAAAAAAAAAAAGTCTGCAAATGTTGCTGATGTTCTCCTTGGACTGTGGTGCAGCTTGAAAAAGCTTCAAAATCTGTGGTTCTTTTGGCACCAACACCATCATTTTAAGTTGGTGCAACAAAAGAGCTATCTTTTCTTGTCACTGCCTTACCTTGAATTAAAATCTATGTATGAAACTATGCTACGAGCAGCAAAACAGCATCCCTGAATATGAGTGCAGAGGATGTAATGGACGAGCACATTTTACAGTGTTTTGCTGACACTGATATTCAGCTTTATTTGTTTGAGTCAGAGTTTACTGCCAAAGGGATGCACTGAGGTAAGACTGGGAATGAGGGAGGACGTTGCTGCTTAAACTGACAATATGTCAACACTGGTTGGATACAACATAAAACTCTGCAAAAATGCACTTAAAGAGAGTCTGACCTCTTTGCGTCCATCACTGAGATACTGCTGTTATGGTCCTTGATGTTTCCTTTTTTCATCATTTGTTGTGATACGTTTGCAGGATATTTCAAAAACTGTTGACAAAAAATGATTGACGTTCGATGAAAAGTTTGACTAAATAAAATTATTTTCAGGCCTGAACAGCAGTTTTTTCCTGATACTTCATCTACCAAAAGGCAAGGTGGAAAGTAAAAAAAAAAAAAAAAGGTGGATGCAGCATTGGCTTGCCAAGGAATTAAGCTTAGGTCATTCAGTTTTAGTCTTTGCCCGTTTCATTATCTTTCTCAATCTATGTCCTCAGCATACTGGAAATAATGAATGTTAACACCCAAAAAAAGCCAAAGTAAATGAGCTTATTTCTCCCATGCTAAAATGTGTTTGAATAGTTAGATGACAGATTTTTTTTTGTAGGTGTTACCTGTTTCAACTGTTGGTTGGACTGCAGTACAACAACTACAAACTGAGCTCATGAAGACAGGACTTATTGAAGTTAGTTTTAATCATTTGCTTGTGGCCAGTAGGTTTTAAGAGGGTTAAACTAACATTTTAAGAAGGCATGTCTCAGAAGGCATGTGGCTGACTCACTGGAAACTTGGCTCATTACATCATTTTGTAAAAGCTAAAAAATGTCAGTAGGGATTTGGTTTCTATCCAAAAATCAATGCTACCAATTAGCAGACTTGGTGTGTATTTTAAAGTTGCTAGATGGAGGAATAAAAAAAACATACTGCAACTTGTGTGGGGAAAAGATTGCAGTAATTTATTTTATGATAAAATATCCTGAATGGTCCTGAGGCCTGATTTCAGCAGTTTAGTATAAAAAAAAAAAAAAAGATCCACAATTTAAAAAGTGTAAATAGAGAGGAATTAAAGAAAAACACACACAGTAGATAAAACATACATATATAATGCGGACCTTGTGAAAACAGTACTTACTCAAACTCATACACCTGCCTAAACAAATGTGGTTTAAAGGGTTATCTGGAAAATTCAATAGTTCAAATCTGAGTGCAAAGTACACAATGAGATATGGTTCTATGTCTTAAAAAGCTTGATCATCTCGGGTCTTAAGGCAGAGTGCATGGCACAGACAGCAAATTGAGCATATCAGTACTTGACCTAAAGGAGAGAGCTGATGTGTAGGGTTGAATTCATTCAGTCACATACATATATGCAAGAGCCTGACTGTGGAATGAGGATTTTAAAGCAGTTCCTGTTTGCAAAGGGGAGACAGTGAAGGGATCCAAGGACAGAAGTGAGGGGAGGCTGCCTTTGACATTGAAGTCTTGCTGCAGTAATTTTGAATGATTTTGGAGGATCAGGAGCGAATATATGCATAATATTTTACACCTTATTGAGTATGTGTTCTTGTTAGCTTTATTGTTTTTGTTTGGACTACATTAATAGTATGTCTCTGTGTTACATGTTTCTCTTTAGGAGGTCCACTCAACAAGCCCCTCTGGGTTTATTTGGCTCCTCCAGCACATTCCTTTCAAAATGCATATTTTGTTAATTAACTAATCATTATGTACTGTCTGTTTTTCCATTGATCTATTATGTTTATGTTTTTTTTGTGCAATAAATAAAATTAAAATTAAAAGAATTAAATTAAGTGAGGGGAAATTATATTCATCAGTACAAGATGGGATACAACATCTTTAGCAGCAGCAGCAGCAGCGTTTTGAAAGGTGTTAAATTTGAGGGAAAAAAGGATGGTGTTAGCTGGTAAGCAAAGTTTGCTCAAATATCGCCTTTTTATTACATGGATTTGAGTGAGGGGGATTTTTTTTTTAAAAGAGGCCCAATACTTTGAACCAGAATCCCTGTTTCATCACAATGAGCTGAAAAACTTTTCTGTCATTCAGTCTCTTATGGCTTTAAGACAGTTAGTAAGCCCAGATAAAGTCACTTGAAATCCTCACTAGATTGGGAAGCACTTTTTGTTGGTTAATCAGTAGCGCTTGTATTTCCACAGCTGGGGTAGTCGCAGGCAGCTTTGTGCACTTTTGCCCCAAATATCTTGTTATGGAGACAAGAATGAACTTAAGGGGACAGAGGCCCCTAAAGCAGCATGCAACTGTAGTATTAAATCAGATGCTATGATTTGTTACAAGAGCTGGAAATATCAAGTGAATAGCAAAGGCCCCAGAACAGAGCCCTGCCACCACAAGACAGTCATGAATAATCAAGGCAACAAGGTCTTGTCAGTGAGATACAAAAAATAAAAGGAACAAAAAACAAACACATATTCAGACTAATGCTATACATAATACTCCCACTCATTCATGTGACATTTAAATAAGGACATGCTGATCTTTAAGGTCAAAAGCACATCTGAGGTTAAGAAGCACTCACACAGAAAAGGCTCATAACAGTGGCTCAACAAATTAAATAAGAATTTAAATTGACACCTCTTATCTATTTTGTTCCTTTCTTAAGACTAGATAAACGACTTAAAAAAATAAACCACGCTGACACTGGTAACCTGCTGTGTATAGCAAATCTGACACAGCCAACAGCAAAGTAAGCTCCCCGTTATCCAGCAGCCAAAATGCATTTAGATAGACTTTGATGGACTTTATTCCCTGTGCGCTCTAAAGTGAAATCCAGTTTTAAAAAGGGCATAGCGCAAAGTGTCCTGTGTTCTGTGGCTCTAAACGGAGATTGAATTTCAAGTCAGGTTGTTATGCTACACTGCCTGCTGCTTGTGTGAACTGTCCCCACTCTTCTCATCCCTGTCCTCTAAAAACGGGTATTTTTTTTAAATTCGGTATATGAACGAGTGGTTGTTTGTGCTTCTCTACAGTGCTCTGTGACCTGTGGAGAAGGGATGGAGAGGCGACTGGTCACCTGCCGCATTGGAGATCAATGTAATGGAGACAAACCTGAAACTGTGAGAACTTGCAGACCAGGACCCTGCCACGGTGAGCATGTCTTTGTCAAACTGACGGAATACTGATTTTTAAGGATCATAGTAGATCATTTTTATTCCATGCCTCCTCATTTCAGCTCCTTTTGAATTCTTTAAGATAAACGCCATGTTATCATAAAGAACATCAGTCGTTTCAACAGCTCCTCTAAAGTAGACAATGAAATGCCTTTCTTGTCATATCCTTTCATAATCAGTTCTTGTAGGTTTCACCAACAAATGTTTTTTTTCAGGACCTTTTGAGTCCATTGAGTTCCATTAAATGTCCGTATGGCAGCAGACATAAAATGCAAGTCTGCATACATTTGGTGTTAAATCATTATTTTGTGGCATCTTTTTTAACGCACGGGTTTGCTTAAAAATCCTGGCATACATTCAACTCAAACAATACTTCACTATCACAAAGAAATCAAATCTTCAGTTGACTGATGTGGATCCTAAATGTCAATGTATGCCAGTTGACTTTCGGAGGTCTTTTGTTAGATCATAAATGCAACGATGATATTTGCAGGCGAGAAAGGAGGAAAAACTAGGATGGAAACTCAAATAACACACCTTTCTCCCATCTGCAGGAGGGCACTTAAAAGGACATACTTTCTATCCAATATTGATCTACAATTTATGTGGTATAGTACTGAAAAGATTGTGAATTGCTTTGAAATCAATTATGTACAGGAAGGATTTTGCCATATTGACACACACCTTCTTTGGAGTTAGTTACTTATTCTATTCAGCACCTTTAAATAATTATTTAGTCAAAATATTCACCATTAAATAGTGGCTTATTATAAGTGCTTATTAGTACCTTATTATACATAGCCATACTCTATATAGCTATGGGCGGCAGTAGCTCAAGTCCCAGTGCGGACTGAATCTCGAAGTTGGTCTGGTAGCTGGAGGGGTGTCAGATCACTTCCTGAGCATTGCCAAGGTGCCCTTGGGCAAGGCACTGAACCTCCACCATCAGCTCAGGAGCGTCCGCTGTAGGCAGCTCCATCACTCTGACATCTTTCCATTAGTGCATGTCCATAGGGTTCTATTTGTGCATGTGTGTATTTCAGCCTGTTGCATGACTTACAGAGTGTAAAAACTGAAATTTCCCCGTGCAGGGATCAATAAAAAGTAAATCTTAATCTATAGCTAATAGACCATTAAACGTATAATATGTAGATTTGTATGACAATGTTTACATTCAAATATCTAAATTAAATGTTGATCTTAATTTCAGTGTTACCAAAAATATAATTCAATCCTGTTGTGTTTTACCATTTAAGATAAACAGAAAGAGGTTTTTGAAACACGTAAAACAGGGATTGATTTTACAGAGCTAAAACAGTGAGATGGGAAAGTAATGTTTACTTGCAAGGTAGTCAAAAATAATTTGGAATTGAAACTTAAGAATCCATGAATGTGTCACAATGCCATAATGTGGACTTACTGCTTTTTAATACTTGTTTTTTTTAATTTAAAGGTTTGTGCTTTATGTAGCATTATGAATGTCATTACAAAATGCTTTGTCAAGACACTTTGTGTTTTTGTAACGACAAAGAAAATAATTCAATTAGTACCCAAGTGTGGTTTCGACTGTCAATCAGACATGACATGGACACTGAGAGTCTATGTAAGTGAATTTGCATTTTATGTTTCTCAATATGTGTGTAAAATGTAAAATGTGATGTTTACTTTAATCACATTTAAAGTATTTTAGTATCATACAGATTTTTCTGGGAACTTAATGCTTTTTTTCTGCTCCCATTTTCTCTCATCAGTTTACTGCTTCTCTAAGCAGTAAAGTGTCAAAAGAGTTTTTTTTTAAATTTAGCCCTGATTCAGGCTCATATACATCGGGCTCATATTTCCTATGGGTGTTGCGTTCAGTTTTTAAAAACTCTTCAAATTATCTAGATTGAAACCCTTTTCTGTTTACTGCACAACATAGAATTCTGTAGACCTCTTTGTGAGGTTTAGGACACACGGATTAAACTTTTTTTATATTGTGCAATGGTGAGTAAAAAAAAGCCTCCAGAGGGTACCTGAACCGTCTTGTGAGCCTGAACGATCTTTATCAAACGTCTTCTGGCCCTTATCCATAAAAAAACAGATGCTGACGTGCATTACTTGAATGTAATGCTAATGCTAATACATTAGCCTACTAATATGGGCTGTCTGGTTGGCTGGCTGGCAATATGGGTCTTGCAGTAGAATGATGAAAATAATAATAATAATAATTGGTGTTATATAACGCTTTTCTAGAAACTCAAAGACACTTTGTCAAGAAAAAAATAAAAAACCACTAGGACAGCACAACAAAGAAGTAATGTGAGGGGGAAGGGTGGGAGTTAGTGGTTATAGGCAGTATTGAAGAGGTGAGTTTTTAGGGATTTCTTGAAGGAAGTGAGTGTGGGGCAGTCTTGAATGTTTTTGGGAGTGAGTTCCAGAGGGTGGGAGCAGCAATTTAGAAAGCCCCCCCCCCCCTGCAGGACAAAATATTGGTCCTGGGGAGAGGTTCGCATCAGCGGTCAGTTTTTTTATTAAAATCCTCACTGATCTGTAATTCCTCCAGCTCCATCCAGCTTCTCTGATGTTCATCCAAGGCCACCTCTTACCGCTTTCAGCACGATGAGTTAAAACTGTTTTTCTCTTTGACTTTCAGATGAGCCATGCAATGGAGACAAGTCCATCTTCTGCCAGATGGAGGTCCTAGCTCGATACTGCTCTATTCCAGGCTACAGCAAACTGTGCTGTGACTCCTGCAGCAGACGCAGTGGAGCGCTGTCTTTATTCTCAGAGGCGGCTGAGCAGGAGGAGCACCTCCGCTTCGGTTCAGCCTCTCAGCTGCTGGAGACATTAACAGCCTCAGTAGCAGCCAACTCAACTCACAGTGGCAAACAAAGCTCCAGCAAAGGATCATCAGGCAACGCTGCCAAACACGTCACCACCCCTGCCCAGCTTAAGAAAACCTCATCAAGGATCACAGTGGCACCGAGGCGGGTTCCACGACACACAGGTCTCTTTGGCAGGAAGCTGCCTGCTATGGCACCATCCCCCCTGGCAGTTCCTACTGTGAGTCAAAGGTCGAGCAAATTGACAGATAGTCGGCAGCCGACAGCCTATTCTGAAGTGGAGAGATGAAAGTGACGGTTTTCCCCTTCGGGACTCTTACTGTACAGTAGATAGTCCAGCTTCTTCCTGAGTCTCCTCGTGCCAAAAACTAATAACAAAAAAAAAAAAAACAAAGAGAGAAAGTAAAGTGCTGGTTCACTTTGTTTTAAGAATTATTATTTTGACCCTGATACTGACTTTAAATATGTTTTAGATGTCTTACAGAAAGCTCCCAGATTATTTGGACGTAAACAGCCATGTTGCTTTTCTGCCATACTTTGTATGGAGAGAATAAAATATTCAGTTCTTGCATGGTACAGGGAGCACATGGTCCGTGTAAAAAAAATAAAATGCTAAATTAAAAACAGTTACACTAGTTAATACTGAATAGGGAGACAGGTTAATGAGGAATTAACAAGGTGGTCTAAATTGGATTATTGACCCCAAACTTAAAGCAAATGAGACAAAGAAGGACCCACCCAGTGTTAAAGCTGTCTCTGATGCCATTTTCAGTGTCAGCGGAGGTGACAGCTGCAGCTTTTCGTTTGTTATTTCCCTCTAATTGGTCTTTCCTCTGGTTTTGTCATTTGATGAATCTGGCCCCTGGTGTCTGCAGAGCATTGCAGCGGGTCTTCTGTAAACACTAGTCAGACAGCGAGAGAGAAAATGTCAACAGTGCAGTCAGTAGGGATGATTCAATTTGTGAAAAATCGAACAGACTGAATCCCTGAAAACAGATCGCCTGATCCAGCTGATAAATATTTTTTTACTTGAACATTAAAAACTGCCATTTTCTTGCCAAAAAAAGTCACAATGAAGCTTGAGTCTTACAGATTTCAACATTTCAAGTTCTTCCTGAGCTTTGTATTATGCAAAATAAAGCGTGGGAATTTTACAGGCCTTATATGGAAAGTGGCTAAAGAAAAACCATTAGTTTAATGGTTTAAGTTGTATAGATTGCTTTATGTCCAGCAATGTGTCTTTAAGGTGCTCTGCCATTTATATGGAAATGGTATTTATAACGGTTCCTGTAAATACTGTACATGAACATATCAGTAATATTTAAAGCTTGGGATACTTTCAAACATCCTTTAATTGATCAAATAAGAAAAAAAAAGATTCCTAACCTCTATGTTTTCAGTCACATGCATTCAATGGACAAACATGGTGAAAATCCAGCTATTACAAAGATTAGGCCTTTTTCCTTTCAGATCCAGAGATAGATAAGAAGATTGATACCACTTTCAAAAGTACAGTTAACAAAATAAGAAACCTCAGACAGGAAATGGTTTTGTTAAGCTTAGTTTAGCATAAGAACTGGAGGCAGACTGTCTCAGATCAAAATACAAACACCTTTAAAGCTTGGCATTATATATGCCATAACTCATCTTTTTCTTATTTCGAATCAAAAGATAAATCAAATAAAAAATTCTACTTAACAGCTTGCTGTTCCCCCCCTTTTCTTCCCATAAGAATAGGCAAACTATCTCCTGGCTGTGGTCCTTATTTTACATGCAGACATGAAAAAAAGTTTCTTTCAAAGGCAGAGTGTGTATGACTTGCTTAATGTGACTGATGTGTTGATGTTGCCCCTGTCCTCAGCTCAGTCTCAACATTAGCTAATTTTTGTATCCTAAGGTTCTGGCATTGAGTTTTTCCCCGAGAAAACTCTGCTCAGAAAGGTTGACTTTGTTTCGTCAAAGAAGGGAACTAAAAAGGGAATATGTTTAACAAGGGTTTTTTTTTTTTTTTTTTAATTGCAGACCATACAGGCTCCTTGCAGGCTCCTGTTCAGCTTGAGCCAACAAAAAGTGTATTAAATTTTCACATCCCACTAACCTGTGTTAGTTAAATTTTCACGTTGATGTAACCATAAAAAGATCCATCACTCCCATTGACTTTCAGTTCAGTGTGGGATTATTTGTTATTGTGGCAAAAGCTCTAACATTTCAAACATTTAAAGCTGCATTAAGTGTTTTTTGACCACTAGAGGGCAGAAAGACTTCCAAAGAACTCACAATTCTACAGTCCTGTGGGAGTCGTTCATTTATTAAAGGGATACTTCACCCATTTGCATTAAGCTTTGTATCATTAGAAACTTGGTAGTATTTTTGAATGGTCGTCCATCACGCCATCATTTTCCCCTGAGACGGGAAGTCTGAAAAGGAGTGTCCGATGACACAAAAATCGTCATTTTGTTGTAGTAAATGTCTGTAAATAGAGCACCCTTCAGTGGGAGTGGCCTGTGGTGCTGTGCATTCTGGGAGTTGTTGTCTTTCATCTACATGAGCCAAAAAGACACTTTCTGCCTTTTCTCAGTCAAGAAGGCACCAACTTCAAAATGTATTTTACATATCTACTACATATATGGCCCAATGTCAAGTCACAGATTCATGTTTCAACGGGTGAAGTATCCCTTTAAGTACTACTGGAAAACCTGAAAAGAAACAGTGGCATTATTAAAAATCCAGCAGAAACAGAGCAACATCTTTCATTGCATTTGTGTAAATATGATGAGTATCAGTCCCATTTTTAACAAACCTTTGAACATTGTTTTGGGTCTTTCCAGAATCCCTGGGAAAATATTTGTCTTTTCAGGTGCTAGATATTCCATTTTACCAGCTTATTATTTATTCCTGACCCCTGCTGTTTGGTGCTAGCTAGAAATTGAGCTTATATTTTATTTTTCTGTGGGGGTTGAACAGAGCCAAGCCAAAGTGCTATAAGCTATGTAGAGCTGCAGAGGTGTTGATTCTCAGTAAGCTTAGCACCATGAGCAACCATTCCACACCCAGAGCCCTTTCATCCCAATTTTTAAGCGAAAACATCTTGCTTAATGGAGCTTTAACCTAATTACACTCTTTGACATTGAGTCTAAACAAGATTTTATTGAACACTTAGTGTTTGGACCTCATTGTAAGCAAAAGAAGCTGGACTTTCAAAAGTATTACCGTATGTGGAACCGTTCTTTCCAAAGTATTTCCTTAATGGCTTTAATATGACGGAAGAAGGTTCAAGAGAGTTAAAGCTATTTATTTTTCTTAAAAAAAAAGGTTTTCTTCACAACCACCATGCATCTGACTGCAATAGCAAAGACAGTTTCTGTGTTTTCAGTTATAAATTACTCGCAACTATTCACACTCACTCCTGTGTGCCAATGTATAGTACATGTATATAGCATTGAGTGCATTAATATTTATTAAAAGTTAAAGGGTTCTCCTTTGTTTTTACAGTATGCGCAGTGTCATATGGTCAATAGGCTGCAGCAGAGAAACCATTGAAAACTGATCCCATTTTATACAACCTTTGAATGGATTTCTTCTTTTTTTGAAACTTGATAGGCTAGAAATGACATTGTTTTTTGCAAACAATTAGATGTAAATATATGTGCACGATTCAGAGTTTTTTTCTACTTGTTGTCACAAAGCTGTCTTTTCACAGCTGTTTTGTAGAAGTTATAAAGAGAGCTGTTACATCACAGCGAGATGTACTGACCAGACAAATGCTTTATTTTAACCAATAAAACATAAATAGTGTAGAACCAGCAAACAAGTAAAGTTTTTTATGCTGTTTGTAGTTTTCAGTATTGTCTAACCATTTTACATTTTCCTCCCCAGTTTTTCTACACTCTTACCTTGCTGACTATACAACATTGCTGCTAATGTTACGTAGAGCTTGTAATGATAAATAGGATAGTTGTAGAAGTTATGTTGACAATCCCTGAGCCTCAGACAGATATTTTTTTGCATAGGATCTTCCATGTACTGTATCAATACCCCTGTGCTATTTTTGCATTGAAGTATATTGATTGTCATTATTGTCAGTCACTCTCTGCTCTATTTGCTTTTCTATGTATTTGTGTAGATTGAAGTGTACACTACTGATGCTGTTTGTTGTAATGGGGAGCACATAGCAATAAAAGATATTAACTTCTTTCATTTATTGCCTCAGGCTTTTATTTACACCATAATTTCTTCATCTGATGCTGTCTTTGCATCATTTATTTTCTGTATTTCTTCATCTAAAATTAATCATAAAAAATAAACCTGATTTGTTTAAGTAAATACACAACAACCCACATTTCTGAGTTGTTCTTTTCTGTAATTAAATGGGGCCTCCATTTGCTCCATAATCCCAATAACTTCTACAGCAAGATCCTGAGGATTAGACTCTTTTCCATGGTAGCTCACACTTGTTAATGGTAACTTTGGTTTAGACCTGTGTGTGTTGAATTTAATCAATGGAAATAGTTATTCCTTTTAAATGAGTCCTCAGATGTTGATGGATGCCCAGTTTTATACCCCTTTAACACGTTCACTGGTTGTTTTTTTCCTACCACAAGTGTGTGGGGGGTGCTGTGATGTCTTTTTACTTTGACTATAGAGAAGCGCAAAGCATCAAACAGTAAAAACCACACTATTGGGAAACTATTGGCCCATAGTAGAACTGAAAATCTATTAATATCCCTGTAGCCACTTGGAACATTACATATCAGCATGTCAAAGGATTATCTTTAGAACCCTTTATCCTTCAGATTGAAGAAATGTAAATTGAAAATACACAACATTGTTGATCTGTCTCAGTGTCCTGAAACTTAGACATGTTGATATTTACAACTATTTGATGGAATTACAATCGCTGTTGCTTGGATCCACTTTTCTTCCTGAAAACAAAACCATTGCGGGGTCTTATAAAAGCTTCGTCTAATGAGAGCCAAGTGTAGATGGGACTGAATAACGTTTTGTCTTTACTAATACTGTTTGGAAATTGAGCCACAATGTCAAGGATTCCATCTAGCAAAGAGCACACTGTGACTTTAATCACTGTTCTTTGTGGAGGTCAGTAATTCAGTAATTATACATTCATCTACTGTATGTGAAAATGTCATGCATAATTATTCAAGACCTGTTATATCTTTATTTGAACTTGGAATGAGGTTTCAGAAAAACCTATGGATAGCTACAGACTCCACGCTGGTGCATACTTTTGTCTGAACAGATTCCTAATTCTAATTTGACAACACAGGATGACGTAGACATTCATTACATCCATGTTTTGAACACCACCAGCAGCAGATTACCAGCTGGGGAGGACATCTCAATTAAACCGTAACACTTCAGTATGGGTGCTTGATGGCGAAGAAAATTAATAAGCATTCATTCCTTTCATATTTCCTGTCAGCTGTATCTAACCCTGCGGCTACTTATTTATATACGATGCAACATATTATCTTCCCTCTAAAAGCATTCTGCATCTCTGCTTCTAAAGACGGCTTCACAGAAACACCATTTCATCTGACGATAAATGTAGATGAAACGTGACGTCAAATTTCTAAATTGAACAGCAAGACAGCAGTTAAAGCAAGAAAGCAACTGAACAATCAACGTTTATGAAGTGAAAACAGCTACGTCATGGTGTTACTTTCCCCAAGATGACTAGGGGATGAGGGGAGTAACAATACATTCAAACCCACGGAAAAGAAGTAGGAACTAAATATAAGCAAAGTTTAAAAGGATTTATTAACAAACTAAACATGAAGGTGCAACACAAAACAAGCTTCTTCTATAAAACACAAAACAATAGAGAAGCCAATCAATCTTAAACAAAATTCAAAACTGACAGTCAAGATATAACAATAAGGCCTTAATCGGAACACAATCCTTCCACAGAAGGATCACACTAAATTTCTTGACATCAAAGACACACACAGTCCAACGACCCACTGGCAACTGGCAGCCTCCTCTCCTGCTCTTTATAATAATAATAACTTTATTTATATAGCACCTTTTAAAAACACAGGTTTACAAAGTGCTTTGACAAACAGCAAGAACAAAGCAAAACACCAAACACAGAAGAACATTAACAACAGTAAGAACATAACAGATGCAAAACACTAAAAGTAATTAAATACAATTCAGCAGAAAAGAACCCAAAGTGCACGATACACAACCAGACATATATAACCCGACCATCACAAGAACCATCATAAGAACCCAGGAAACACAAGAACCCAACAACACGAGCTGAGACCAAGAGGACCAAAGATTTAAAAAGATGTATGAAACTAAAAGAGATAAAAGCAAATAAAAAGATAACAGCAATAAAAAGGTAAGAGCAGTAAAAGAAATAAAAACAAGTGGTTAAAGGATCAAAAAACCCAAAACTATAATATTAATAAAAATAAAAAGCAAATATAAATATGAAACATAAATAGACAAAGTAAGTAAGATAAGAAATTACCAAGTTAAAACACAAGAGGAGATTAAGATATGAGCATAAATATGAGATAAGAGCATCGATAACAGTAAGAAGTAAAAGAAGATAAAAATAGTAAAACCAGTAAGAGAAGACATTAAGAAGACGACATCACATAAAAGCAAGTCTGGAAAAGTATGTTATAGTTTGTCCCTGATTAGTAATTAGCCACAGGTGTGGCTGGGCACTCTGAGGCTGAGGAGCAACACCTGGGGAGCACACACACACACACACACACACACACAGGAGAGAGAGAAAACACAAACACACACAAAACTACGGCACGTAACACATGGTATGACCTAAAGAAGTGGTTCCCAAAAAAGGAGTCTGGACCCCCTGTGGGATCGCGGACCAAAAAAGAGGAGCGTCACATCTAATCTTTGAAGATTGGTTTGAAAGCGCCTCAGTTGACTGCCAGTCTCACAGACGAACACAAGGATCGTTCCATTCCAGCTGTGGGGGATGTTCAATGTCTACTTTGGCATAGATTTTCATTTTTTTTCTCCACAAAAATCATGACTCATGGCCTATCTTGGTATTAATATCAACTTGTTAACACTTTTAATGCAATTCTGAAAATAATTTATACTTTTACTCAATCTCCTTAGTGTGTGTATGTGTAAAAAATCTTCAACTGGAACTTAGCATACAGCAACAATATACTGTAGGTATCTGCTGCTCTTTACACAAAGACGCAAACATATTTGTATCTTTTCATTACATTTGGTATATCCACTCACAGCTAATGTCTTTACATGGATATTTTTTGTATTCTGATTCTGGCCTAACAATACTATATCATTTATAGTGTTCTTAGTTATTTGCTTTAACCATCTCCATGGACAGTGGGGGTCCCTAGTCTCTGTCAACTTTATTTGGGGTGCTGTGGGGAACTTTTTGGGGGTGAAAGCCAAAAGAAGAAACATAACTGTTGACATCTTTCAGTTTATCTTGCTGTTATATGTTGTCTTCTCAGCATGATCCTGATCTTCTGACAGCA